ACAGTAGACTTTTCTACTTAGACGTGTCCGTAGTTAGGGTAAAAAATGCATCAAGTCTTTTTCAGCACCTCTTGGCACGTCGACTCAGTCAACAAACCAACTTACTACTATAAATGTTCGAGAAATAATAACAACGGAAGGCCTAATATCGTCTGATTTAACCCACTCATCAAGTTTCTCAACTATAGTTGGGCAGGCACAATCAGAAGAAACTCAGCCAGCGGTTCACACTATGACGGCACGAAAATCTTCAACAACAATAAAACCTCGTAAATCTCGGATTACAGATAAACCCCAAAGAACAGGAACGAAGATCACTATCCAAGTTAGTGAACGGACACCCTCAACCCTGAACAGTGAGTAAAACATTACAATTAGATTTTTCTTTTTCTTTTTGTTGGATGACTCGACAACAGGATAACGATCGTATACAGTATGGAAATCAGTCACGATGAGCATGAAGTTATTAATTTTTTCTTCAAAATAATATTTTACTGGAATTTTCTTTTCTTTCCTGTGGCCTGATCAGAAAGTCTCAAAAGATCTTTTGCGATTCTAATCTATTAGAACAAGGAACGTTTGACAAATTTGTAGGTTTTTAATATAAAATTGTGTCTGGAGGAAAGACTAGTTTTCTGGATATTCAGGTGGCCCAAACTCAAACCAGACTACTTCTTCCAGTTCAAATGGAGGAAGCAGTGAGGCGGCCATCACTTCAAGAGAAAGTTCAAGTGGTATCATCATCGAAGGGACATCGACTGTTAAAGCAACTGGAGCAATTACTGAAGAGTCTCCAAGCACTGGATTAGCGGAAACCGCTGCTGAACTTACTCTTACTACTGAGTCCACTGGAACAAATATTGTTGAAACAATGCAAACAAGTACAGAGCAGACCGCTGCGGCTAGTACAATGAGAAATGTTGGTATGTCTTGCGATGATGCTAAGCTAATGCTTATATTTCGTCAGTTGTATGCTGTTTGAGAGTGATGTCGATTCGCTACAAAGCTAGATGCAAACCACGCACATGCCTGCTACCCTTGTTGAAACGAGAATTGTAGTAGGCTAGAAAGAACTGTGATCGTTTATTACCTACTTTTTTGTTACATCATACTCGAGTGGAAAATTTTCTGAGTATACTTATGGGATCAAGAGACACTGATTATCTAATTTTAATCAGGCATATTTATAGATTTCATCGAAGAGTGCCTACCATTTTTGAGAAAGATAGATCAGAAGGCGTAGAACTATGCTTATTCACGTACGATACTGTTAGTGTTGGATGGGTGAGGATGACATATAACTGTTATCGATTTTGTATGGAATTGTTTTTGCTGCTATAAGCACAACGTCAGTCATTTGGGAGATTTTATTGTCAGCAGGCGAAAGTAGACTATTAGTATCATGATTGCTGTTCACTATTTTTAATTGTGAGTGTATTAGAAGATGGAAATAATTTCAATCTGTACTATATCACACTAATGACAATAGACTCTATACAATAATACGACTACATAATAATGTGAGAGTATAGATAATACCATTATAGATGGAATATGTTCGTCGAATAATGTTATACAATTTCAGAAACTTCAGCATGTTATCACTGATTATCTCTTGTCATATCTAGAGTATTGTTTCTGTACATAATCAGATCACTATAATATTAGAGCTTGGCTAATGATTTTAAATATTTCGTTGATAAAATGGAATTATATCATTGATATGATTTATTTGTTGGTCTTGTTCATGTTCCACCAAATATTTAACTTCACTTGCTTTATCAACAATTCTAAATGGTCTATCATATAGTTGTTGTAATTTCGTACATTTTATTTGTTTAATTATAATCAAATCATCAATACTATAAACGGGATGTCGTATTCCTTTATCATGACCATTCAATGTCAGAACATTTTGGTGTACGTCGAACATGTTATAAAAACAAGCAACATTATTATTGACTCAAAGTGTTTGAAACGGTAAAAAGTTATGTTAGACCATGTAAAAATGTACAAAATTTAATATTAAAAGGAATAAGCCCCCGACTTTTTTCAACCAATTCCATAGTCGGAGGGTGTCTTTGATGTGGTACATATGGAGTAAAGCTGGTTGGGGGTACATATGTATTTTTCGAAGCCATCGTCAGCCGAAACAGCGGAAGGAAATAGATACGTACTAGTTTTCACTGCTAACTTATCAAAATATGTATTTGCCGAAGGATGTTCACCGAATACGATCAAAACGACTGCTCAGGTATTGTTGGTAAAAATCATTATGCCCATGGAAATATCAAATATTTAACGTCTGATCAAGGATCACATTTCAACAACGACTATTATCCATACTAAAATACAGTGCCGAGTGCCACTTTTTGAATAACTTTTGATAGGAATGAGATAAAGACCTGCGATCTTCGCTGTTCAATAGCCAAGACTTGAGCAGAACGTTTCACAAGCGGAGGCAACTTTTGAAAAAATTCCAGAGATCGGGCTTCCA